ACAATGAAACACATTCCGACGCCCCTGGAAAGGCACGGAGACAGAGAAAGAGAGGCACAGAGACAGAGAAAGAGAGGCACAGAGACAGAGAAATACAGAGACAGAGAGATACAGAGACAGAGAAAGAGAGGCACAGAGACAGAGAGGCACAGAGACAGAGAGACACAGAGACAGAGAGACACAGAGACAGAGAGACACAGCGACAGGGAAAGAGAGGCACAGAGACAGAGAGGCACAGAGACAGAGAGACACAGAGACAGAGAAACAGAGGCACAGAGACAGAGAAACTCAGAAACAGAGAGCGAGAGACGGAGAGATTGAGACAGAGAGACACACATGAACAAGCAGAACTTGTCCAACAGCATTGACAAGGCTTGCGATGTTCAGTGATGTCAATGAAAGAGAGAATGGACAGGAATATTTTCCGATGATCATCTTCCCGAAATCAGAATTCACACCCTTCATTGTGTGAAAATGTCTTCTGACGTTGAAGGCACTAACCGAGCCATGTGTCACCCATTCCTGACGAGTCAGCACTGTGGAGTAAGCAAAGCGCTGCGCTGCCTTCTCTATATATACGCATGTACACTGTATATATCCACATTCACATGTCTGAAGGTTTGTGGTTTTCAATGAAAATAAAATTAAATAAAAATAGAACTGTGAAAGGATTGGGAGAACTTCAAATTCAAAGGATAAGTCGGGGAAGTGAACTGCCTGAAAAGAGAGAAAAAAACGCCAGACAAAAGAGAAAAACGCCAGACCCACCAGTCCTGGTGGGTCTGGCGTTTTTTTCTCTTTTCAGGCAGTTCACTTCCCCGACTGATCCTTTAAAAAATAAAATACAAAATAAAATAAAAAGCGAGCTTGCTTGGAGCGCACAACACTACCGCCACTGCTGTGGGTACCAGTGCACTTCTGTCGCCTACGACTTGTCAGCAGCAATGCGTCACCAACAACGTGTCACCACGGTCGGTGGGCTCGAATACAAGTTCTAAATGCGAGGACAGCTGCCAGGGCAGGTAGCATGCATGCTCCCGCAGGCATGCTACCTGCCCTCGCAGCTAAGTCCGTGACGTGTCCGTAGACTCTTTCCTGAGCTGCGTGCCTCTAACTTGTCATGATCGGGGACCGGCTGCCAGGCAAACACCAGAATTAGCCAAGAGTTTCCGGAAACCTGTCGGAAATGGACGGAAATCTCTGTAAAACGAGGCGAAATGCTGCAAATCCTGTCGGAGCTGAAGAGCTTTTTTTCATCAAAGTTCCCCACCTGGCGCCACTGCAACCAACTCGGCACCGACATGTAGAGTGCAAATAATGCACTTGTGTCACC